CTATATATATATATATATATATATATATATATAATACCATACTAATTAGTCAATGATACTATAAGAGTATAAATATATTTTCATGGTATCATTAAGGTTTCTTATTCACACCCTACTCATTAGTCATTATACAAATATATTTATATATTGTTGTGGTATAATTAAAATTTCTTGTTCAGAAATTACTCATAGTCATTGATACCGTAAGAGTGTGTGTATATATATAGTATCATTAAGATTTCTTTTTAAGAAATTACTCATTAATCAATGATACTATAGGAGTATATAGTACAAAAAAGAATAAAAATAACAAATGAGAAAAGAAAAAAAACTAATAAATGAGAAAGAACAAAAGTAATTAATGATAGGACAAAAACAATAAATGAGATAAAAGATAAAAAATAATTAATAATAGGACAAAAGAATTGAGCCTAAATTTAAAAGACCGGAGCGAAATTAGACCTAAATTTAAAGAGGCTAAAAGGGAATTGGACCTAAACTAAAGGAGGACATGGACTGTAATTTATTTTAGGGAAAATTGCACGGTTAAGCAAACTTATACTATTTAATTACTCATCATAGCTATAGTTTTCTATAATTACCACTCGTGACTAACATTATACATTAATTACGTGGGTTGACTTCGAGTTTGTATAGTTAGCCACGTTTGTATATGTATAATTCGCTAGAATATACAAATACACATGTATAATATATAATTATCTAACCGATATACATATACAACTCATCTTTCTCCCACTCTCTGGCCTCTCTCTCTCGCCTATCTCCTCCCTCTCCCAATCTCGCTCGCCTCTCTCCTCCCTATGACATGTCTCCCAATCTCGCTTGCCATATATACAAATACATATGTATAATATACAATTATCTAACCTATATACATATACAATTCACCTTTCTCCCACTCTTTGCCCCCTCTCTCTCGCCTCTCTCCTCTCTCTCCCAATCTCGCTAGTCATATATACAAATGCATATGTATAATATACAGTTTTCTAACCAATATACATATACAATTCACTTCTCTCCCACTCTCTGCCCTCTCTCGCTCGCCTCTCTCCTCCCTCTCCCAATCTCGCTTATCATATATACAAATGCATATGTATAATATACAGTTTTCTAACCAATATACATATACAATTCACCTCTCTCCCACTCTTTGCCCTCTCTCGCTCGCCTCTCTCCTCTCTCCCAATCTCGCTCGCCTCTCTCCTCCCTATAACATGTAGCTACGAATTGTAATTATCAAACTATAGCTATGAAAAGTAATTAGGCTATTTTTGAGTGGCTATATGTGAAAGTTTCTCTTTATTTTAAGCGTATGGATACTTACTGAATTAGTCTATATTGAGCTATAGAATTATAATATTTTATATTTTGCGGCCTATTTATGTAGTTCCCATATTTTTATGGACGGACATTCGTTATAGCCCAATTACTGACAAAATCCACTTATCAATCCTCTTTACCGCTTTATTGGCCGTAAAAGAAATTAACGAACACTTGACTCTTTGTACATAGCTCAAGAACAAAGAATTCAAAGCACCAAAACTGATGCTTCTTGTAGCAAATTCAAGTCAAGCATGGAACTTAGCACACCCAACACTGACTTTCTCCCAGAAATGCAAAACACAAGTGGACATTGATCAAATTCATGCTCAATTGATAACCACAGGACTTGTAAAAAATCCATTTTTGACCACAAAACTTATCTTGAAGTTATCTTCTTCCCCTCACACACCCATCGTTGAATTTGCTCGGTTTCTCTTCTTTTCTGACGATTTCTGTTGTTCAAAGCGAAATAAAAAAGACCCATTTCTCTGGAATGTCATAATGAAGTCATTTTCACATGGAAATGACCCGTATAAGGCTTTTCAAGTGTTCTGTTTGATGCTTGAAAATGGGGTTTTTGTGGATGAGTATTCATTATCTATAGTTTTGAAAGCGTGTTCAAGAATGGGTTTTGTTAAGCGAGGAATGCAGGTTCATGGGTTATTGAGGAAAATAGGATTTGGGTCTGATGTGTTTTTGCAAAATTGTTTGATTTCTATGTATGTGAGGTGTGGGTTTGTTGAGTATGGTCACCACGTGTTTGATAGAATGTGTTTGAGAGACTCTGTTTCGTATAATACAATGATTGATGGGTATGTGAAATGTGGAATGCTTGATGTTGCTTGTCGTTTGTTTGATTTTATGCCAATAGAGATGAGGAATTTGGTTTCTTGGAATGCTATGCTTACTGGGTATGTCAAATTGGATCAAGGGTTTGATGTTGCTTGGGAGCTGTTTGATAAAATGCCCGAAAGGGATTTGGTTTCTTGGAATTTGATGCTTTATTGTTGTGTTAAAAGTGGAAATGCTGAAAAGGCTACTGCTTTATTTGACATGATACCGAAGAAGGATGTTGTTAGCTGGGCTATAATGGTAGATGGGTATGCAAAAATTGGTAAGATTGATATTGCAAGACGTTATTTTGATGACATGCCTGTAAGAGATGTGATTTCCTGCAATGCTATTATGGCTGGGTATGTCAAGAATGGCCACTGCCTTGAAGCATTAAAAGTGTTTCATGATATGTTAAGAGGGAATAGTCTTGCTCCTGATAGTACCACCGCATTGCTTGCGCTTTCTGCAGTTGCAGAGTTAGGTTATATTGATGAAGGGATTGCACTGCACTGTTATATAGAGGAGAATGGGTTTCTTGTGGCTGGAAAGCTTGGTGTAGCTTTGATAGACATGTATGCAAAATGTGGCAGCATAGATAGTGCAATGGGTGTGTTCAATGACATCCAAGAAAAAAATGTTGATCACTGGAATGCTATGATTGGTGGTTTGGCTATTCATGGCTTTGGGGACGTAGCTTTCGAATTGTTCATGGAGATGGAAAGACTTTCACTAGATATAGATGATATCACATTTATTGCGGTTTTGAATGCCTGTGCTCATTCTGGACTGGTAAAGGAAGGCATGATCTGTTTTGAGATCATGAGAAGGGCACATCGTATGGAACCTAAGCTCCAGCATTATGGATGCATGGTTGACATCCTTAGTCGAGCAGGGCATGTGGAAGAGGCCATAAAATTTGTCGATGAAATGCCAATCCATCCTAATGATGTAGTTTGGCGAACATTGCTAAGTTCATGTAGGAATCAAGAAAACGTCCACATTGGAGACCCAACGGATAAGCAACTAGTTGGACTAAATTCTCATAATTCAAGTTCCTACGTGCTTTTGTCTAACATATATGCTCAATTTGGTAAGTGGGACTATGTTAGAAGGGTTCGAACAATAATGAAAGAAAAGGACCTGAAGAAAACTGTTGGCAGCAGTAGGATTGAGCTCCAAGGAATTGTCCATGAGTTCTCTGTAGGAGACAAATCCCATGATCAAGTTGAAGAAATATATTCCACATTACAGATGGTTTGTGTATAGCTG